GGACTTCAGCCAAGGTCAGCTCAAAGCATCATAAATAATCATAACTTCTCTATAAGGGAAAAGCTTGTATAAAGAGGAAAACAAAAGGAAGTTGCTTCAGCTGGTTAATGAAATCCTGAATTGTCACATGTGAGCTCACTGCAGGTCACATTCATCACTCTCTGAGGTTTTATTTTTTTTACTAGCAATGCACTCAGCTATCCTCAATCCTCAGTCTGCAAAGTGGAAATGATAATTGCTGTCATCCAGGGATCTTGTAATAATGGTTTTACAGCATTTTTAAAAGTAAAATTTAAATGGGAAACATCTGCCAGGCACTAAGCCTTGCTTCTGTGCAGTTCATAGTCAGGCAGTTATCTCTTTTGCTTCTTCCCTTTCCATGGCACACCCACACCCACATACACACCCAGTATTTACTTAATATTTGGTAATTGCAAGAAAAGTTAATATTACAAAGCATCATTTGTATTTGAGGATTAAATACACCTCTCCCAAAAAGTTTTTCTCTTTTTTTTTGATACAACACTTTTATTATCATGGCTTAAATAATTTCTAGGAACAGTGGAAGACTGTAGTGAGCTGTTGCTGTGTCAATTTCACAGAGCTATATTTTTGTGCTCATTAGTATTCTTGGATGTCTCTAATTTACATCTAAATGTAGTGACTAATTTTGATTCAATCATGTCAAAAGTGATAGGTAATGTGTGGGAGGAGATGACAGCCCTACCCATCAGGAATTGCCAGAATGTGAATTCCTTGGGGCAATGATTTAATGCCCAAGTCAGGCACTGCTGTCAGAATTGGAGGCCAAATTATGACACATTATGCTGTACTATGGACTTGCACATACAATACATTTGAAAAAGTGATGGAGATTGGAGTCATTAAACTATGCTTTAACCATCACTATGTTTTTTTTTCCTCTCCCTCTCTTTCTCTTTACTCACCACATATGTTCAGTATCCCTAATCGCCCTACTGAAATCTCATCTGTAACAACCACCTCCCCAAATTCTTTGGAGAAAGCCCAAAGGTGATTAAAGCAGGTTGTAAAACTGTGGCAAACCTGATGTACATTTTTGCTTATTCCTTTTAAATCATTTACGTTTCTGAAAGCAAGCAACATGTCAGCGGGATATGCACAGGCAGACCAAGGGTTCTTTATTATATTGTGCTTTCTTTTTCCACCTGGGTATTTTAGAAATCTTTTAGAAATCTTTTCCTTCAATAACTCCTAGCTATTTTGGATAACTCATTCTAATTATTCCCTGTGCATTTTCTTTTTTTTAGCTTAAGGTGAATTTGTCTGTCAAACTTTGGATTTTCAGATTGGAAATACATTGTGCTCATAGGTGGGATAAGGTACAAATGTATTTATTACAACTAATTCAGGCAGAGTGCATTGTTTTTAATATGATTTCTTTATTGGAAAGGAAATAGTTCCTTATGATACTCCCAAGCAGCATATTCTTAGCATGAATGTATTTTAAAGATATATATTTTCAAAATGTGTAAACATATGATTAATATTTGATATGAATATTGCATTGCTTTGAGGTTTTTCTTCTCTTTTCTTCTCTTTCTCCTTCTTTCTCTTCCTCTTTTTGCATAGTTCCAGCTGATATAGTAACAGCCCAATAACACTGAGAAATGTTTTTCTTCCTTCTGACTGGCTCTACTGAATAATCTAATATGAAGAAAAATGAGCCCCTGTGGAAATGTTATTAATTTCTAGTGCTGACACTCTGAGAAATAAATAAAGAAAATAGTCCTAACACTATCAATATAATAGTAAAGAATATTATGGTTGGATTGTATGTGGTGTTAACATTTGCTCCTGACTTTTAGAAATGTTAATTTAGTCTACTTTTAATTTGACCTCCTGGAGTGATATAAATAAAAAAGGGAAAGGATAAAACGTAACTGCTCCAACCAAGGATTTATTTTATTCTTTGACATTATCTGTGCTGAATTTAATTAATTTGACACTGTGCAAATATTTTCTTTGATATTAAATCTTACATTCTGATAAAAAAGAAAAAAAAGAAAAAAATATATATTTCTAGCCTAATTGTAAAATCTTTATTCCATCTACTCTGAATACATGAAGGGAGAAGTGGGACTAAGGATTCACAGTCCATGTTCTGCAAATCCCGTGTACTTAAAAGGTGGTCCCTTCAGGAATATTTTCAAATTAGATACTGGTTCTCATAAAACTTTGTCTCTATCCAATTTTGAACCCACCTCTTATCCAAATGTGTTTACTCTTCCCTAAAAACTTCTAAAGATAGAATAACCTATATATTACACATACATGTATGGGACAAACCTGTGTGTTTTATTTTCATTAGTTGGAGATTGCAGCTTTTCCTGACCATTTTTATGCTAAAGATTTCCTCCCCTGGTTGTTCAGTCCCTGAATTATTCAGATTTTGGATAAAGGTCATTTGGGAACAGATTAGGAGTAAATTTAACTGGAAAATGGCCAGCAGGAAAAGGAAATGATTAAGCCTTGTACCTCAAAACTACTATGCAAGTTTAAAAAAGAAACAAGAACCAGTTTGCCTCACAGCTATTTGCTTGTTGTGAGCCACTGCAAATAAACAAATATCACACCTCATATATAATTAATGCACTTTTGGAGAATATTACAAATGAATATTGGAGATTGCATCAAAGGAAAATGTTATGTCTTTTGAATGGTTCTGCTCTTGGTTGATCACTCTTATTAAAAACACAGCATATTCTTCCTTACATTATACTTTTAAGTTGCCTCCAATAAGTAAATGGTTGCAACTCTGTAATATATGTTCTATTGTTTAGAGCTTTCTCTCTGCTAAAATAACATTACTGTTAATGTATAGCCCTGTACTTTTCACACACTAAGTAAATGCCTAAATGGGCACATTAATTGCATATTGGTCATAGGACCCCGTGAATTTTAGAGTTTCACCCCATTAAATCTGTCTTTAACTCCTGCATCACCATATATAACTTATCTCTTTTTGTTGTTTTAAGATATGGCTGAATCACTTCCAAAACATTTTTTATTAAGAAAATAGAAGCATATGCTAATTTTAAGCTTTAGAAGCTGAGCTAGTATGCTTGGCTTGCTGTCTGTATCTTTATTGTCTTTTTTCATGAGCTGTTTCTGAAACATTGAAAATATTTGCTTATTAAAATTATGCTGGACTTTGGATTCAAAAGCAAGAGGGTGCTTTGGAGTATCTGGGGTTTCTGAGTATAAAGGCTATATTTATTGGTAATTCCTTAAACATAACTTGAATTTTCCTGGGTTGTGTAGCAGCTACAGAGGGAAAAGATGTGCCTGCTTTCAGAGGTTGTACATGGGGGTGTGACACTCATGACTCATATGTTGCAAGGCACATATTTGCGTTCTAAAAACCACATACCAGATACCTATTGTTTATTACGAGCAGACGTTTTACAGCAAATAATTTGCAGTAAAATAATTTTATAGAAGACAAAATAATTTCAGTAAAGTTATCTTTTTTTTTTTTTTACTAAGGCAGACACAAAATCTGAAACCTTTGTTAGAGCAACAAAACAACATCACAATAGTGCAGGGGTGTCAAACTGCTGGCCCATGGGCCGGTTGCATTATGTGGAGGCTGCACCAACCCCAGCTCCAGCAATGCAAAAAAAGTCACGATACATCATGACATGTCACATGATGCAGTGAATTTGACACCCGTGCAATAGTGGGACATCTGTTCTGCCATGTATGTGCATGCAATAGATCACATAAACACAAAAAGATCTGTGCTTGTAGGATGACACTGTAATATTAATTTTGCCTTTTGTTATTTGCAGATATTATTGGTCAGACTTGTTCAAGCATAAGACTCTTATACTTATGGATGGGTACATCAACATAGTCCCATTTGCATTATCTTTCAAGTGTAGAGAATAATGGTCTTAAAACAGAGGAAGTTCTTGATGATTGCACTGTTCTCTATATTACATAAAGAGGTTCCCAGAACAAAATAAACTTTCTATTACAGATGTTTGTAATTGGAATCCAGTGAGGAGAATAAGATGGGTTTATGGTAGTATGCTGATTTCCTTGAATGGGAAGGGTAAGTACCCCTCTCTATTATGTCTAAAGGGATATTCAGCTGAAAAGGAATCACAGGTAACTTTTAGACATGTCCTCAAGGTTAGGTGGTTTCTTCTAGTCCCATCAAATGTTGAACAAAACTTCCACAGCAGAGAGAATTCTTGATTTATAGAAGTATGATTCTGTATGATTCAGAAGTTTGTTAACACATAACAGACTATACAGAAAATGCTCAGTACTGTATGAGTTTCTTCCAGTGCATAAAGTTGTGCAATTCCATAGCTAATTTGTTGCCCTTTCTGCTGAATTATGCCTGAATAGGATTAATAATATATTGCTGCTATATGAATAGGCTCGAGATTGACTGGGTCTGTTCAAAATAGGGACAAGTACAGCAAAAAGCTTTTGCTAGGAAAAGCTGGCAAATAAAGTACTGTATAGACCTCATTTTACCTTCCAATTTCCTATTTTCTGTGTAAGAAAACATCCAGAAAGGAATATATTCTTCCCATAGGCATTGTCCAATCTCCCTGTCATGGATCAGATCTTGTCTCAATGACAGTGGATACTCTAAATCCATAATCAGGCTTACAATAATAGCATTTTCACTATTATTAAAAAAAATAGATGAAGTTTTATGACCTGAAGAGCAAATAGAAATGTAGAAATGGATAAGGGAAGGTTACTGTATGGTACTCCTTTAATCCTAAAGTATTTTTAAAAAACAGATATCTTAATATCTATTGATATCTTAATATTCAGATGGATCTCTGGTAACTCAGCTGCAAGTTTGGGAAAACATTTATTGATGAGCAATTCTAGCTCTGTTGGTTTTATCTGTGTTTGCTTTTCTTTTCCCAGTTGTAAATATTAATAATAAAATGAATACTTACAGAATAACAGAGTTGGAAGGGATCTTAGAAGTCTTCTAGTCCATATACTAAAATTGGAGTGATACAGAGAAGATTAGCATGGCCCCTGCATAAGGATGACATGCATCCTCTCTGTTAATGCAGCCTAGGATTTTTTTTTTTTTAAGTTGATGGAACTGAAAACTGCAAGTCAAAGAAGATGGTGACTTGAATGACACTAACAGTGACATGGGCATGGCACTTTGAATAGATATTTTACAAATTCTCTTGCTGTGTTTTTCAAAAGAACCTTTTACTTTCTACATTGTGGCTGTACAAGGCCAGATATATTCTGTATTCCAAACTAAAAATTATAGCAGGCATTAATTTTGAGTGCTATCACATAATTTGGCTCTGGTATAGCTTCTATCCAAAGCTATATATTTGATTTATTGCATTTGCAAGTGTTGTACTAAAGGAAGGTAATCCCTTCTGAAAATGCTGCATACTGGCAGAACAGGAAACCAATTAGAAACCAGTAGATGATAAATAGGCATTTGTATCAGCAGTTTACTTAATTTCACCATTAAATAAGCCTCTTTGCATTGATCATTTAATTTCCTCCCAGTCCTTGAGGTTCTTTAATTGCTGTCTAAATGAGCCTTATGCTGAAGTCCAAATTTCACTCTTGGATGGAAGGGAGAGATCCTTTCCATTCTTTGTCTTCCTGGTTGCCAAGAACTGTCAGGAGCGATCATGTAAAATTTTACTTTTCTTATAGTCTCATTAGAAAAATGGAAAAATGATGGGAGAACAACTTCACAAAAGAGATAAGCTGTACTGCAAGGACTCTTCTCAATTGTATTTCCTGACCTTTTTTTTTCTCTTAACATCATCCTGTAAAATAAACTGAAGTTGTAATGTTGCATGGCACTTTTTCATTTTGGAAAAGTTACTGGGGGCTGAACTAAATCTGTGGCAGAAGTAATGAGGTACTACAGAGATTTTGCAACAATTTCTGGATAGAGGTGACTGGAATTATTATGGACAAAACATGAGATTGGGACAGAGAATATGGTTTTCGGAACTAAATAATGATAGCATATTATAAAGCACTCCAGAAGAATAGCTTTAGCTTTTCCTTTTATTTTTTTCTCTGTTAAATTAAAATTCTGGAAGAGAGAGCAGATCTCCAGAGACCAAAAAGACCAATTTAAAACTTTGATTTACTTTATTTTTATTTCCTCTAACTTGAATATCTTAAGGATCTTCAGAATGTGAATAAAATTTTAATATTGAGAACAATAAAAAGAATAGGCATTTTGAAGCAGAATTGATAAATTCAATATGATATAATTTTTAAGTAATACAATAATATAATATGTAAATATTTAAAAGTAGCACTTTTTTGCGCTTTAAAAATAAATATTTGTAAATTATTTAATGCCCCTCCCAATATTGCTATACTGTCTTATTGTGGCATATCTCCGTGTGTGTTTGTGTGTTCATGGGAGAGATGAATGAAGAATATCAGGAATATATGTCAATAGTGTATATTCCCAGCAGAGTCACCCAGTATGTGAAGATCATCCCATCTGTCCAGCTAAAATAAACAGGCATCTATACTGGGCAGCAACTATATAGGAAGATGCCAAGATCGCTTTAATGACAGTGGTAAAAGCATCAATTCATACTGTGCAGGAAAAGCAATAGTAAAGAACTCCTTTTTGTAAAATATAAAGTGATTGATGATATAGAGTTGGATGGCCTTCAGGTTGGATGACACTCAATACGCAGTTAAGGAAGAGCTGAGGAACTTTTGGAATACTAATTATGATTGAAGCCTTCAGGATATCTAGTTGCTGTTGTTGTCATATTGAAAAAGACCATCAGAAGTTTCAAAGATAGAATTCTAGTAAAATTATAGTAGAATTATAGTAAAAATGTCTAATGTAAGATGAACATAAGAAAGCTCAACACACTCAAAAATGAAATGAAATGACTACAAATTGACATCTTAAGCATCAGTGAATTCAGGTGAACTGGGATGGGACACTTTCAGTCAGAATATCACTCCATTTATTATTTGGGAAAATGAAAAACAAAGAATAAATGTTGCTTTTATAGTTAGGAAAGGTGTAGCAAGAACAGTACATGGCTACAATGCTATCACTGCATGAATAACATTGATTAGACTTCATGGCCTTTAATATGATGATAATTCAAGTTTATGCTCTAATCACAGATGCAGAAGAGAAGGTTGTTAACTTCTATTAGCAAATTCAATTTGAAATGGATGGAATATGCAAAGATGATGTGCTGCTTAAGATTGGAGACTGGAATGCCAAATTTGGAAACATGAAAGAAGAATTATATGGTTTAGGAAACCAAAAGAAACCAGGACTTATCAATTTCTGCCACTTCAATGATTTCTTTGTAGGTAATATTGTCTTCAAACAATAAAATGATGCTTCCATGCATGGACATCACCAGGTGGGATATATAGAAATCAAATTGACTGTATGATTGCTAAAAGGAGATGGGGAAGCTCAAATTCAATATTATTAAAGACATGGCCAGGTATTCGAACAGATCATGAACAAAGAAAAAAAATCTTAGAAAGGAATTTAACAAAGAATTTCTGTTCAAGGAGAAAAGAAACAATATTACAACATCCGTAAAGATACTTAATATGGAAAAAGGCATGGTAAACAAGGAAAGGTTTTCAAAAGATTTCTGAGCTCAGAAGGAGGCTCCAGTCTCAAATAGGTATACTGAAGAATGCCCATGGACAGGAAATCAATGGAAGATGGAAGGAACAGACAGTCAGGAGTATACTGAAACACAATACAATTAGTCACGTCCAAAAAATATTCCTTACTTACAAGAACCTCTAGTACTGGAAGATAATGTTAGATTAGCACTGGTCATTATCCAGTTGGGAGGATACAGGAACTGATGCAATAACTACTGAAATACAGTAAGCAACAGATGAAGAATCAATCAAAGTTCTAATCAAGTTATACCAGTAAATCTGGAGAATGATAAAGTAGCCAGTTGATTAGAAGAGGTCAATATACATTCTAATACCAAAACAGTGAGACTTAACAGAGTATGCAAGTATCCTTAACTGTACAATGCCCTTAATTTTACATGCTAGCAAAATAATGCTTAGGATGACTTCCGGTTCCGGTTTACGGCATCACTAATCGCACGGGGAGACGTCTCTCCGCGTCGGCTAGGTTTCCCTCCATCGGTGGACTCTTATACAAGTCCAAAATTGCCCTGGAGGGTGTGACTTCCACCGAGGAGGCTGCTGTCCGGCTACAGAGGAGCAGCGGCTCCTCCAGCTGTCCGGATGAATCTCCGAGGGCCGACGGAGAAGAAGATCAGCCAGTAAAATGGCCGATCGCCCTGCCGCTTCAGACCATAAGTCAGACAACATCTAAGCTAAGAGTGCCCCTGTGGTGAATCCGGGTGAGAATTTTTTCTTGTTTTTTCTCTCTTTTCTGATTTTTTTGTTTGTGTACCTGTAAGAGTCTCTGGAATTATTTCCCTGGCTTGGAAAGGCGGCTTGTGCTATTTTTTTGGGAAGAAAGGCATTTTACAAACACTGAAAGACTATTTACTTCTATATGGATATTAAAAAGGAAAAAAAGATGGAAAAGGTTTTCTCTCTCCTCTCTTTTTAAGAACTGTACCATTTCTTTATATAGCTAACAACCAACTTCCCTTTCTGGATGTCTTAGTCTACAAGAAATCCAATGGCTCCCTAGGACACACCATCTACCAGAAGAAAACCCCCCCCCCCCCCCCCCCCCCCCCCCCCCCACCCCCCCCCCCCACACACAAACGCCTATCTCACGCTCTCTCACACCACCACCCAGCACAGATCAACTCTGTAGCCAAGACACTCATCTCCAGAACAAAACGCTTAGCTGACGAACAACCCCTAAAACCCGAACTACACACCCTCACCAATGTACTAACATCCAATGGATTCCATAGAAATAAGATTACAAACCTAATCCAAAAATAAACCCCCACCAAAATCCAAGACAAAGAACAAGAAAACGGCAAAGCCCTCCTCCCATACATAAAAGGCACCACAGACAGAATCAGTAAGATCCTTCATAAACACAACATCAAAACAGCATTCTGCACAAACAGAAAAATATCCACCATCCTTAGAAACCCAAAGGAGGGATAAAATTTGAATTAGGAAAATCAGGAGTATACGAAATCCCATGCACCATTGTCCCACCACCATACATCGGACAAACCAACAGAAGAATAAGTGCACGCATGAAGGAACATAAGAAACGCAGTCAAAAAAGAGGAACCAACATCTTCCCTGGTCCAACACCTTAAAGCAACAGGACACGAAATTGACTTTAAAAATACCAGAACCATTGCCAAAAATGAACATTTTAATAACAGAATAATCAGAGAAGCCATCGAGATAGAAAAACGCCCACACCGCAGCGAGATGATACCTCCCGCCTACCAGCCATTTGGAAACCTGCCCTTATTTGACAAACGACTCCCTAACCCCAAAATCTTAAACCCCTCTGCAACTCAGACTAACCTGAGCACAACCAAACAGAACACTCCCCCAGCCAATCAGAGCACAGCCAAGCCCCTAACCATTCAGAACACACCTCCACCCAATCAGAACACAGCCAAGCTCCCATCCAATCAGTTCATACCCTCACTGGCAGTTAAAAGGAAGAAACAGCTAAAACCACACATTGCTGCTCAAAGCAAGAAGCTAAAAACACCAGCCTGAAGATGACGAATGTGACTTCGTCGAAACGTTGCCAAGACACTTCCAATTTTACGCGGGAGAAAACCCGAACAACCAAAGACCTATATACAAATACCCGCGAAAACCTCAGAAAACAAATATCGAACCTCTACGGGGAGGAAATCCACCATCTGACCAGGACCTATGAAAAACTTGAAGTCCAAAGAGCTTCCATTTTATGTGACCTCGCATTCCTACGTAACTGCCGAGATCAAAATCTAATCCCCACATGTTTCCAACTGAAATTCCACTCCAACTCTGCAGCCACCAAACGGATCCTGAAAAGAACAGAATTGGCCCTAATCAGAAATGAACTTCACACAAAAAGATTCCTCCTAGACCGAATTAACAAAGATCTCCTCACACTCCACC